ACATTTGGACAAATAAAACTGGCTTATATAGACAGAAGAACTTGTGCAATTATTGAGGCCCAGCTTTATCAAAGTCATGGTTTTACTCTGAGGTATATATAATTGATAGCATTCGTAAAATAGTTAATCTTACAATTCCTATTTGTTATTCATAAATGATGTTTAAATATTTTATTATTTTTTGGAATTGAAATCAATAGATGGGAATCTTATGTATCATGCTACCTTCATGTTTAAAAGTACCTAACAACATCATATATAGACAATATAAAGTACAAATAACAGGCTTATTTCTAACTGTTGAAAATAAGGGCAAAGATTCATCCTCTTCTCTCTTTTCTTTCAAAATGTCTTTCTCTGTCTTTTCAGACTGGCTGCTAATCTCTTTAATGACTGCACAAGATTTTGCCAGTTTCACAACCCAAGAGCATCCAAGGATCAGAGAACAACATTTTGAACATCATCATGAAATAAGGAAAGGTTCCATCTCTTTGAAGGAGCCTGATCTAATTTCAGCTGTTAGACTCACAATTCGAAATCTACATCATTTAAGTAGTGGATTCCATAGTTTTACCTATATAAAAAGTGACACTTCTTTCTATCTTTGCAGTCTCTTTAGTGGGATGCCAGTGACAACTGCCTTATAATTTTCTGGTTTAACGTTTATTTAATAATAAAACTTTTTTCTTTCTCCTCTACTTTTGTGGAGATATTTTCTGGGTTGCAATATTTTGTTTTCAATCATATTGCCCTAAGAATTGTCACTCTTTTTTCTCTCACACAGTATGTACATAATACTCAAAATTGAGGAAATCCCAATATCTTGAGACAGGACAAAATTTTAGCAGACAATTTTCTCCTTTGAAATATATTAGCAGCATGTGAGTAATATTCTGAATAGCAGCAGATACAATCCACCTCAGCAAGATAGGCTGCACATTTTTTGCAAGAAGCTCTTTAAGAAAGTGCAACCATTCTTACTTTTTCCCTGAGTTTGATAGAATATTTTTGCATCAGACCCTTATTTTAAGACGCCAAGACATTTCATTCAAGGTAGCATGTTAGGAGAGACTTCAGTGTGGAATTTAATTCAGTTTGAAATATGTCTGCTAGAGAAGCACAGGCGAAAGACAGAGTGAAGAGGTCAGTGGAAGACAAATCATTCACAGTATCTAGATTAGACCTGAAGGGTGGAAATTCCTTACTAAGTAGAGTAGATATGATTCTTATTAAAAGCAGACTAGGAACTCAGCCAAGAATATAGCTGAGTTGTAAAGAACTTACACAGAAACCTTACTAAAGTTTGGTCCAGTGGGGAGTCCTTGTCTTAAATTCTCAGCAATGATTACCCTCCTTATTATTTAATGTGCTTGCTAGACTAGAAATTAGAAGCACCAGCAGGCAGAGACTCAAAACTGAGGTCTGGGAACAAACTACAAGAACTCAGAATTTAGATGCAAGTTTGTTAGACTCTAGAGCAGTGATGACAAACCTCTTAGAGCGTTCAGTGATACCAAACACCCCGCTGTAGCACGGGTGCCACAGGTTTGCCACCACTGTTCTAGAGGTATAAGAAATACTGCTAAAAGTGATAGTAAGCCTTTAGAAGTATCTTTTAAATGTTTATCATAATTGAGATTTACAACATAGGCATCCCTTCTAAATAAACAAGCAAATATATTTTACACATTTTTTGCAAAATACTCTCAAACTCTACATCTTAGAGAATTAGATGCATCTATTGATCTGAGTACACTATTTTAATATAATAAAAATAAAATTATTTCACAAATCAGGGAACTGTAACTCAGAGGACTAGTATTCTGCCAATACAGCAGCACAAATTATTTGACTAAACTTTGACCTGTTTTCTGATAAATGATTGCAAACGAAAGTTTATGTAGAAGATATTGAATTTAACCCAGTGGAGTGATGAAAAAAGTAAAAAGTCCAGATTCTTAGAAAAACAGACTGCGGAAAAAGCCTTATAGAAAATGAAAACAGGAACCTAAAGAGAAAAGTGCAATAGTACCTGTGCCCAGCCTCTGCTTATGGAATGGATCAAGTATAATTCATTGAGCAACCATAATTTATGTAAAGTAGATTTCCTGTTTGCACACCCTGTTCAATTTGTATGTACTTTGAATATAGATTTTCAATGGATATTTTGGCAAATAATAGAGTTACATTTTTACCTGGTACTTTTACTGCAGAAAATGAATCCTTAATTTGTTAGCATCTTTATTTAAAAGTCAAAAAAATAATGTTAAAATTTTCCCACCTGCAGCTCCAAATATCCTTGTGAATTCATATGAAAACCTCTGCATTTTTAATACGTCTTGACAGCTTGTATTTCTGCTTAGAACTGAGTACATTCCAGTAGTCTCACCTAAGAAGCTAGCAAGTGTTCTTTAGCTTCATGAAGCACTAATTTCAGTGCATTAATTCAATAAACATTTGTTCGGAACAATTGCAAACATTAGGTGTCATAAACATAAAGATTTAGAAAAGATAAGTGTAAGCTATTAAGTTCTGATATGTGCAAGAAACTCTGTGCTCAAGATTATCATGTAAAAAGTGAAGAGGTAAGACCCATGAAAAAGATGGTAGCTGCATTTCAAGTGCTGTCCTTGGCTCGGGATCTTCACACCCATGCTTACTCTCCTCCCATGTGGTACTCAGGTTGGCCTACCATGCCAACTGCATACATCACAAGTGATGCAATGCTAATCCAAGATTGTTCTGAAATGCACTATTCATTTCACTTCTCTCCTTCACATTTTTTCTCTGCTACCTGAATGCATTTATGCGCTGGATGAAGCCAATTTTCTTGTCAAGCTCTATGAACTGTCCCAGGAAGTAAGGCGTTACATTCTCCTACTAAAGTTATCTAAGTGAGCTGGGAAAAGAAGCCTCCAGTCTTGCAGTAACCTCAGGTCTGACAGGCATCTACACAAGACCCTCATGAAAAACCCAGAGCCAGATTCCCTGAGCTAAGCCATCCCTAGATTCTTGATTCTCAGAAACTGTGTGATAAAAAATGTTCCTTTGAAAGGTACTACGTTATGGAGTTACTGGTTTTCCATAAACAAACAACTAATATCATGAGCTATGCAATTGAGGGAAATAAAATTCAAAGATAGATGTAGTTGCTTCCTCTGTGGACAGAATAATGCATTGTGGTGAAGGTATAGTTTTGGAAATGGTTGTAACAAAAGTGAATTCATGAATACTTGGACGTGCTCTAACTGCCAGGATTCTAGATACCTAGAGGGAGCTAAATGGAAAGCATGTTGGAGTTAGATGAGCAAATGCATCCAATCATGTATTGTACAAATTAGGCAGTGTAGCACTGTTCAATAAAGATGAGTGGCCAAGTAACTGCATTCATTGCATTCTATCCTTAAAAAGAGAAATTCACAAAATTAAGCTATGTTCCAGAAAGATTTGCCATGAAGTTGTGAATGGCAAATATTCTTGCGTCTATACCCAGGAACGGTCTGAAGAGCTCACAGATTAGAGGGAGAAGCAGCCAAGTGAGCTCATTGGACACGTGGCAGGTCATATGTGGCATAAGAGAAGGACACAAAATTCAGGCAAGGTAGTGTACTGAGTAGCACTTTGTGTGTATCTTTAAGGATTAGTAGATGCAGAATAAACAAAAAAAACCTGGGAGGTGAGAATGAGAAATACATTTTTTGTGTATTCTGAGGGAACCAAGTTCTTTATACATGTGTAAAATTCAATGTTTATAATACTGTTCAGCAACTGATATTTTTAATGCCAATTCACAAGTGAGAAAAATGGTGCCAATACTTCAGTCACACAGCTGGGAAGAAATGGAGCTGGGATTACAATCAACATCTGTCTAATAATACTTTCCTTAAAATTTATACTCTTCTCTGATGCCAGAAAGCTGTGTTTGTCAGCAGTGCTGTAATTGGAAGTCAAGTTTGCCAAGCAAGGCTGAATCAGATAAGACTTTTTCCTTGCTTTCTAGCTGAGAGTTAGATTGTCTCTGTTGGGGCTAATATTCCAATTCAGTTAAGCTAATGCTATATGATTCGTTTGGTAGAAATACATTATCTCAGTGGAGTAACTTAGACTATCACATTTGTAACTTAGACTTCATCAAAATACTTACCTTGGTAGCCTCATATAGACAATATCTCAAGTAAGCACCTTAGATTTTTTCACTACATAAAATGACATAACATAAGGCTAAGTCATGTTCAAATACTAAAATAATTTATTAGATGAGCAAGGTCTCTATTAAATAGAAATTATTACCTGGGCCCTTAGCTTAAAATGAATAATTATACTAATAATAGCTTAGACTCACAAAAAAAAAAAAAAAACCCAATTCAAAGATGCTTCTAACTTATAAAGTATATTAGTCAGTTTTCCTTTTTCAGGGACAAAAGCACCTAACACCCACAACTTAAAGGAGGAGAGGTTTAATTTGGCTCCTGGTTTGGAGGTTTCAGTCCATGGGTACCTGCTCTAATGTAGTAATGGTATGGAAGAAGGGGAGACAGGAGAAAGTGGCTCACCTACGGCTGCTAGGAAGAAGAAGGAAGAGAGGAGACCAACAGGGAGATGCTCCTTCCAAAGGCATGGCCACTGGGACATACCTTTTCCAAATGGCCCCACTAACAGCACATCTAGCCATGGATTCAGTAGTGCACATACCCATTAATGAGTATAGCACCCCCATGATACAGTCACCACCCCGACAGCCCCAGCTCTGAACATGAGAGTTTTGAAGGACTTTCTAGATCTAAACCATAATATGAAGAATTGATTTTCATATTATTGTTTCGGGTATTATATATTTTTCCACAATAAATGTATTCATGGATTTTTGAAAAATACACAATTCATACAGTATACTGTAAGAGATTTATATTTCTAGATGTTTTCCTCTGTGGAGTGAAGATCTATTTAAAGGAAATAGTTTACTAACTCTTTGGAAACTAACTGGAAGCTAACGAACTTACTTTCTTTCATTGTACTTCCATTTTATATCATTTTCCCATTTCACTGGAACATTTTCTTCTTTATACTAAATATGGTGTTCTCAGATTCCATCACATTTGCTGAAAATCCTACAAATTCTGTAGTGGAGCACGGTCAGAATGAGATGGAACGGGGTTCCTCAGAGACTGCGTGACCTCATTATCACCTTGAGAGTCCTCAGTGCCTTGAAATGAAATAAAGATAATCCAGTTATAACATTTTTCACCCCAGCATTTAAGAATTCCCAAAGTACTAACAGTGTCATACTTTCCATATAAATGAGACATTTCTTGAAATCATACATTAGTTAAAGCAAACTTATTTCTTAATATTGAATGATTATAAAATATCACCTGAACATTCTTTGGTTAATAATATTTTTCTAATAACAATTAACAATAGTTGTTGAACAATGTTTCTAGCTAGGCACTGTATACAGGAGAATTTCCTGATGTTCATACTCAGATCATAAATTGTTAAAGTCCTAATGGTTGAAATTTATATTCTTGTTGCAGAATCATAGACTTACATAGTTGAGTTGAAGTTATGTAGCTAATTTTGTAGAATATATTTAATCGATCAAATGATTGAATTTGAATTTATCACTTACATTATTGAAAATGGTTTCCATTGGATTGGTTGTCACCATCTAAATTTTGCCCACTACCTCATTTAGGCTCCACAAATCAATAAGGGAAAACATGGTAGTAGTATAGTAGTGGTAGTAGTAGTGGTAGTGCTGGTGGTGGTGGTGATGGTAATGGCGGTAGTGGTAGTGGTGGCGGTGGTAGTGGTGGTAGTGGTAATAGTGGTATTGGTGAGAGCAGTGCTGGTGGCAGTTGTAGTGATGGTGGTGATAGTAGTGGTAGTGATGGTGGTAGTGGTAGTGGTGGTGGTAGTGATGGTAGTAGTGGTAGTGATACTGGTGGTAGTAGTAGTAGTGTCGTCTGTCCAGAGAAGAGTATCAGAAAAGTGAAGTGACTCATATACAAGGGACTACCCTCCCATACACTCTGTGGTGATGATTCTTCCAGTGTTTCTGGTAACATCTCAGTAGACTTTGACCATGTAATGAACAGCTTCGCCATTAGCCAGCCCAAACAAATCAGGAGGGAGGGAGGCTTTTCTTTATGTGACTACCTCCACTTTTCTTTCTATGCACACTCTTTCACTTATGCATTAACATTTTCATTGTTAATGTTGAATTAATGGCCTCTCTGTCAGACACATTAGCTTTTAGGGTTTCAGTGATGTGTAGAATGCAATCCGTTCTCCCATGTTTCCTAGAGTTGAGTTGGTATGATGTTCATTCAAGCATAGAATTAAAATAGAGAATCACACATGATTGTGCTTGCCTGTAATCTGAGCATTCTGGAGGCTGAGATAAGAGGATCACTGTCAGTTCAAGGCCAGCATTGATTCCATAGTGAGTTCAAGAACATCCCAGGCTACATAGCAAGACACTGCCTAAAACAAAAATTAGTCAGGGGGCTGGGGATTTAGCTCAGCGGCAAAAGCGCCTGCCTGCCAAGTGCAAGGTTGTGAGTTTGGTTCCCGGTACCGGAGAAAAAAACCAAAAAAAACAAAAAACAAAACAAAAAAAAAAAACAAAAATTAGTCAGGCCCAAACATTAAAACTTCTGAGCAAGAAACCAAGTCCCTCAACTGATGAGATCAGAAGATGTGTTATCTTTGCAATATTCTAAACAAGAGTTGGAACCCAGGGATGGCAGACCTCTCCAGGATTCTTAGGACTGGGGAGGCTGCTGGAGGAGGATTACAAGTTCCACAACAGCCTGGACTGCAAAACCAGACCCTCCTTCAAAACACTCACATAAGGATGATGATGATGATAATAATAATAATTATAATGGCAGCAGCAATTGAAAAAGGATTTTAGATGTAGAGAGAATACTGTGACAAAGTAAAGAGGCAGAGAGAAAATGTCATGATGTCCCCCTGGTGTGTTCCTCTGTATAGCTAACTGTACTTGGAGGTAAGACAAGGGAGGGTAATTTGAGACAGGTCACTCTGGGTATAGCATGGATAATGGATAGATGGACGATGAAAATACTGGGGTAATGAAAATTAGGAGATGTAATATGTAATAGGAGTTCATGATAGGCTAAATTTAGTTAATGATAATATGAATAAGTGAAAGAAAAGGAATTTTAAAAATAGCAGCTATAGTCATTAATAGAGAGCAGTGATTGATTTGAATAAAAGATGAAGGCAGGATGCATTTCAAGGTTTTAGATTACAGAATGAACTCGTAATGGTGGAGTAGGGAAATAAAGGGAGAGTTGCAGGTAATACATGCATACTCAGGAGATGTATGGAAAGGTCAAAGACATAAAAAATTCATTCTTAGCCACAATGCATGTTACTGCCATGAGACACCTCGTAAGAGACATTGTCACCAAACAAACATCGAGGTTATGATTTCAAGAGTAGAAAGCCACCATTGCATAGGCGGTAGTTAAAATCACTAGGGTAGATGAGACCGCCCAAGGCAGTGTATGTATGCGTATCTGTCAACTTGTTCTGTGCTAATGAAGACTAAGAACTGATCCAGAGAAATGTATTTGCATTTTCAAGAAATGGTAAGAAAAAGACTCCAGGGACTAAGTTAAAATGCAGAAGGAAAGTTGTTCTAATAATTATCAATAGAGTAAAATATTGGTAGATGATTTCACTGATCAAATCATGTCAGAACCCACCACTCAGATTGTACAATATCTGGGGAGGAAGAGGCAGCTTCATCGATCCCGCTTCTACCTCTTTCATCATTTCAAAGGTTTCAGACCCAGAGCGGAGTGCATAGGGAGAAATCACTTGTGGTATAAAAATAGATGATTGAATTTGAAATCTTGATTCTAATGCCATACTTTACTAACTTCCCAATGTTGGGCCATTTAATTAGCCTCAATTCTATGCTGCTCTTCAGCAGAAAATTAAATATAAAAGTGCCTGTCTCAAAGGGTGTTGAGAGGGAGAGATTAACCAGTATATGAGAAAGCATTTTATAATCTTCAATATGTTCTAAACAACATACATAGACATTTGATATTATTGATATCATATGATTGTATTCCTTTACGTCCTTTACCACTCAGGATGAGTGTGTGTGTGGCTCTGTGTGTGTGTGACCTTTTTGTTATAGTTTTTTCTGTTACTGCAATGAAAATGTGGAGAAGAATATTTTACTTACTTGTTGGGCCCTAATATCTGAGCAAATACCACATCATAAAAGGAAGGAAAATATGCTATTTCCCCAGGCAGTATTAATAATAACCTGGGTTATTATTGAAAATGTGCTATCTAATGAACATATAAATGAATCTCATCCCTGCTTCTGGGACTTTTCCCTATTCTTCTTGCTATGTAAACAACTTCATGCTCGGTCCAGTTGTGTGTCATGGCTTGGGAGGGCCTGAGGGTCACTAATGAGAGAAGCATGCTCCTGTGCAAGGCCTCGCCCTTGCTATATCCTCTGGGCTAGAAGTGTCTGGTGGCTTCCGGGCGCTCTCACAGCTACATCACTGTTATGTGTCTGCTTTATTTTAACTATGCCAGCTCATTTGTTCAGGCCCTGGGTTTCCCATGCATGTGTAAATGAGTACAAATGCATCAAAAGTTGTCTCTCTGTGTAAACATGGTTTTCAGACCTACAGAACCCAATTCCTTCTTTTACAACACCTACTTTTATTTACAAACAATGTATCCATACTGTAACTTACTAAGATACATATAGTTTTAATAAGAAACATCAATCTAATTTCTTATTTTCAATAGGAATAATATGAAATAATATAAATTTCTAAATGTAAATACTTTGTAAAGCTACACTAGAACACATAGTAAAGTAACCCTGAGCCAGAATTTTTTGTCTTGTGCTGTTGGCTCTAAAAATTTGTGAGATTACCAGAAATTATAGACATTGCATTGTAAAATTATGAGTAAAACACTCTCTGTTTTCTCCTTATATACAACTGCATATTCTTTAAAAATCTGGAGCTGTTATCAAACACTTTGTGTGCGTATATTTACCTGAAAATCGTGTTTCATCTGTGTAAAATTCTAGTATGATATAACAAAACGTGTGTGTGAAAATACTGCTATTCACCCGAAATACAATTTCTTCTCATTTTGGAGGGAAGAACTAAATTCCTTAGCCTCACTTGCAGTCTAGCTAATGAAAAGAAGTAGAAATGAAGTTAAAGAAACTCATTCTGTTCCTTACATGAGTCACATTCCTAGAAGAAATCGATGATGTGCTCAAGCTGAGCGATAGGAGAGTCTCACACTGTGACTGTACTGGTGAGCCTGGTGGAGGATGGTGTCATAGTCAGTGCATCTCCCAGGGCTGGCATCAGGGTGGCCTCAGGCTCTCTCAGCCTGGAAGGGCATGAGGAGGATGCAGGTGCCAGAAATACACAGAAGGAAAGTGCTGACTGTGAGGTTGATAGCACCTCACCTTGTGCACAAAGCCAGCTGGCATCAACTGGGCCAGGAGACAAATGAGCAATCTGATGTCTCTCTTCTCCTTCCTCTCTTTGCTGCCCATGTTCCTTCTGGTTGAGCCCAGCTGAAATTCTGATGTCAGAGAAGCCACTTTGTGTGGGGCAGCCTCCTGGTGCATACAGCACATGGAGAAAGAAACAAGTGATAAAAAAGGTGTCCAGAGCATCTCTTGAAGAGTCTTTCTTTCTGGCTGGCTAAAGTCAGTGATGACTGTTCCAGGGTAGTATTTCTAGTGTGCTGTTCTCAGAATACCAGCCCCTCATTTGGAGAAATTCTCAGAAATTCAAATCTCTAAACTCAGGACAAAATGCAATCTGAAACTGTGAGGGTGGAACCTGATTTTTCAGAGATTTTATGTCGGTTTATAGTGCTAGGTATGGAACTAAGGTCCTAGCAGAGGTTAGGCAAGCACCCAAACCCCTGAGCCATATCTGCAGTCCTCAGCATTTCAACGAGGCTCCAAGTGATCTTAATGCAGCATTGTCTGGAGGGGGCAGATACTTCCTGGTACTCTCTCTTCTCCTCCTCATGATTATAACAGTCTAGTAAATCACATGTAGTAGATAAATAGTTGCTAGATGGATAAAATAAGACTTTGTGCTTCTGTTTTAAATACACTGACCTATATATTAATATTTGCTGAGTTGGTAAGAGTTCCAA